TCTCAGACTGGACTCAGACTGGACTCAGACTAGATCAGTCTGGTCTCAGACTGGACTCAGACCAGACTCAGAGCTGGTCGCAGACTGGACGCAGAGCTGGACGCAGAGCTGGTCTCACACTGGACTCAGACTGGACTCAGACTAGATCAGTCTGGTCTCACACTGGACTCAGACCAGACTCAGAGCTGGTCGCAGACTGGACGCAGAGCTGGACGCAGAGCTGGTCTCAGACTGGACTCAGAGCTGGTCTAAGACTGGACTCAGACTGGACTCAGAGCAGGTCAGGTAGATTTTGGGGGTTTTCTGGGTGTTTTGTGTGTCTGTGCTATGAGGCATGTTCCTGTATTTCTTGTGTGTCTTTGTGTTTCACTTCCTGCTGTCAGATTTATCCCCCCTGAGCTTTGTTCTTCAGTTTTGCGTCTCTGACACGTTTGTGTCTTCTTGTCTCATGTTGTGTTTTTGTGCTCGTTTGGTGTGTGCACTTTGTCTCCCTGCAGCTGTTGTGGTTCTGGATGCCTTCATCTTGTGTCTCCTGAGGTTTTTTTGTTACATTTTTGGTCTTGTTCGGAGGTTTTGCAGCTTTGCAGTCGTCATTTTGTGTTTGGCTCTCAGTCGTTGTGGTTCGCGGTCTGTCCGTCTCCAGGTTTAGTCGTCTCTGCATGTCTCATTTTCTTCATGGAGCCATTTTGTGTCTCTGCAGGTGTGTTTGGCACTTCTGTTTGTTTCAGCTTCATTTCTCTGTGTTTGTGTGAGTATGCTGTGAGATTTTTCCCGTTTTTACAGCCGTCTGCTCCGCCTGTCACTATTCCCGAGTGTCTCCACAGAAATGTGACTGAACACGAGCACTTCACGCAGACTCCTGGTCTGGAACACCAATGATAAACTTCCACCTGCATCGCTTTTTGAATCCTCCCCACAGAAGCTCAAAGTGCGCACACCTCCGTCTCAGCTGACCTCCACCACACGTTCCTACTTTTCTTCACTTTAGCTTCTTTATCGAAGGATTCAGACTCTTTGATTCGTCCACGGTCGCCTCAGACTTGTCCTCCAGTGTCAGACTTCCTGATTATAAAACATAAATTCAAATGAAAAGATCAAATTCTTATTGTCTGTTTAAACTGTAAACAAATTACAAAAAAAACACGAGATAAAAATCTGGAAATGTAAAAGCAGTCTCCAGATCATGGAGTAAAAACTGTAAATTCTGACATTAAAATCCAAAATATATAACAAAACAAATCTTTATTATCATACTGCACTGATGGAAGTCACGCACTGACGGCGGCCTTCACCACGCCCACGTTTGTTTTAATGACCCCTTATAAACCGTTGAATGATGACATCAGCGCCGGGATAAGAAGGGTTCAGGTGACATCATCAGGTCACGAGACAAATCTTCTGTATCTTCCTTCATGTTGTTTCACATGCTTTTGATTTTGAATGTTCACATCGAGCGTCTGACCTGACGCAGAGCTGCTAACATCAAATCAATTTCATTTTGTTTGAAAATTAAAATTAAAAAATCTTTTTGCGATTACCAAGAAAAAAAAGACGATGGAAGCCTTAAAAAAAAATCCAGATTATGAGATTAAGTCGGGGTTACGACATCATTTAAACGCCAGTCTGAACGTCTGCGTCCCCTCAGGCGTATCTGAGGACCCCACGGTGGGACTAAATCGTCCCTTTAGTAATGCACTTCCTTTCCCCTCCCCTCAGTGGAGCTGCGCGGCGTGCTGCTCCTGGCCGTGCTGCAGTGCTGCTCGGTGGCGCTGTGCGGCTGCGAGCCGCGGCTGGTGAATGTGGGCGCCGTGCTGAGTCAGAAGCGATACGAGCAGGTGTTCAAGGAGGCGGTGAGTCAGGCCAACGCTCTGTACGGGAAGGACAAGTTCAAGATGAACGCCATCTCCGTCACGCACAAGGCCAACGCCATCCAGATGGCACTCTCTGTCTGCGAGGACCTCATCTCCAACCAGGTGAGCACCTGCTGTCACATGACCCCTCAAACCTGACTCAGAAATGTCTTATCCCCGCCCCGCCCTGAGCCTGGTTCTGTCAGAGTTGGTCACATGATCGCTGAGGTCGTAAACGGCCTAAACTGCTGCAACTTTCATGGTGAAACGAAACTCTTCCTGTTTACCTTTCACAGTAAAAGCCCCGACAGAACTATGGGAGGTTTGAATGTTAAAATCTGTCTCCTCTGTTAACCTAACCTCAGTGATCAAACATGATCTCAGATGACATGATTTATTCTGATTTCACTGCAGGATGACTTTTATTTTGACAGGTTTACTGGTGGGGTGGTTGGGGGTCATGACCCTGTCCTGCAACAACAGCAGCAGCTTCACAGAAGTCATCTCGTAACGAAGCGAAATGCTGATTTTGGTCTAAATGAAATGAAAATGAATGTAATTAGTTGTCAGATAAAATAATCATTACCCATGAAATGTATTTAGATCATTGAATTCTCGTGTTATTAGCTCACATCATTACATTGTTCTCATATTTTTATGTCATTTATAAAAAGAGAGTCCAAAACAACACGAGCGCCGACACGTCTGAATGAGTTAATTACAGGAACATTAAAAATCAAAACGTCAGAGCGTCCTCAGCTGGATTAGAACAGGATAAAACTCGTTTCATGGCTGCAGAGGTGACGTACAGGACGCTGTATGCTGGTCAAATTCTGATTGGTTGATAAGCGAGCTGAACAGGTAAGGGAGTTCACCTGGACTGAGAGAAGCAAGAAAAACAGACGAACAACAGAACAAGCAGAGCTGCTCACACTGCCCCCATCTGGCAGCAGACGCTCACTGCAGGTTCACTGGGTGCACCTGGACACGCGGCCACGCAGAACGAACTACACCTGGATTCAAACTCAGGACCTTCTTCCTGTGCGGCCACAGAGCGCACCACAGTGTAAACACTACATGTTGCTAGGCAACCGTTTCAGATGAATGTCTACGGGGCCAAAATGGCGTCCTGGGTAAAATCGCTGCACGATGTATATGTTGTGAAATTTGAGGCGATGGAGTTAAAATCCCACAAGATCAAAACAGCGCGCTCGGTTTTCTGATCGTGTATCAATAAAGTTGTCACATTTGTAGCAGCTGTTTCCATCTAGTTTCAGGATGATCTCAGTCGTGTTTGGTTAAACTCTGTTCGTCAGGCCATCTTCAGACTTCAGCCGTGGCAGATTTATTTATGTCACGCTGATTCTTTCAGTATGTGCAGAGACATGTGGGGGTGGGTGTGCTCGTGTTTCATAATTATAATCAGAGTGAGAGTAAAACTGAGAGCAACAGCAGAATAACAATCACTGCACTCATGTTAAGCTGACTGGGCTCGTACGTTTTTAATATTTGGGAACATAATGTCATCTGTTGCCACCAGGAGGACATCTGTACAGGGGCAGAGAAAACAAAGCTGTTAATAAGAAAACTGCTCAGTTAATCCATCGGTGAAATGATTCAACATGGCAGTCGTAATGTGAACGTTTCCCTATTTTAGGAAAGAAAATCTTCGCTTTGTACATGGACACAAATCAGCTGAAACGAGAGAAGTCTGTTTCCCAAATTACTGTAAAACGTGTCGTATTTTCTCATTTTTACACAAACATGATTCAGTCTTCTGTCCTGTTTGTGGACCTGAAGACTGACTCAGTCTGATTTAGTGACTTTTTTAGGAGAAGTAATCTCAGACCTCTATGCAGACGTAAGATTTATGTAAACCATCTGAAGGCCTCACTGCCCGACTGCACAAGATTAAAACTTGAATAGCTTTGAGCTGTATGCCAAGAGTGAACGAGACATCGATTCACTGATCCACACCACCAGGCTATACAGCAATGACATTGGAATGTCGTTCGGGCTGGAGAAGTGTAGTCGGATGATAACAAAGAGAGGGAAGGTAGTCAGAACTGAGGGGATCGAACTACCAGAAGGCAACATTGCAGACACAGAGGACGGTTACAAGTACCTGGGGATCCTACAGGCGAATGAGAACCATGAAGAGGCCGCTAGAAAGACTGCAACCACCAAGTACCTGCAGAGGGTCAGGCAGGTCCCAAGTCCAGCACCCTGAGGCTGTACGCTAAGCGGAAGGAAGGGGGCCGGGGACTGGTGAGTGTCAGCACCACAGTCCAGGATGAGACAACGAACATCCAAGAATACATTGGGAAGATGGCCCCAACTGACCGAGTGCTCAGTGAATACCTCAGGCAGCAGAAACCCAAGAAAGAGGAGGGAGACGAGGAACCATCATGGAAGGACAGGCCCCTGCACGGTATGTACCACTGGCAGATAGAGGAGGTGGCTGATATCCAGAAATCCTACCAGTGGCTGGACAAAGCTGGACTGAAAGACAGCACAGAGGCACTAATCATGGCAGCACAAGAACAAGCTCTGAGTACAAGATCCATAGAGGCTGGGGTCTATCACACCAGGCAAGACCCCAGGTGCAGGCTGTGTAAAGATCCCCCAGAGACAATCCAGCACATAACAGCAGGGTGCAAGATGCTAGCAGGCAAGGCATACATGGAACGCCATAACCAAGTGGCCGGCATAGTGTACAGGAACATCTGTGCCGAGTATAACCTGGAAGTCCCGAGGTCAAAATGGGAGATGCCCCCAAGGGTGGTGGAGAATGACCGAGCTAAGATCCTGTGGGACTTCCAGGACCCGAGCTTGGAGGATTGACCGCCTGCAGGGGCGAGCGGGGATTTATACTTACAGTGCTGTTGAAGCGATTTTCCCCTTTCCAATTACTTTTTTTAAGGTTTGTCACACTTTAATGTTTCACATCATTAATTGGAGATTATGTATGGGAATTTCAGGAGTGGGACCACGCCTCCAAACATGCTCCTTCCGGTCCTCATCTGTACAGGTTCCCCCAGTCCTGCAAGCTGTCATTCTCGTTTACGTGCTCCTCCCCTTTTCAATTCTGTAACTTCTTCACTTCTGTTCAGTACGTGGGGATCTGCTGGGCCCGGGAGCCGTCGCCAGGCCCCCTCAAAGCCTTCCCCAAACCGCAGCTCAGCTCATGCCCAAGCATCACCTTTACCTACTAAAACGCTGTCAAACATAAAATGAGGACGTGGGTCCAGCGAGTGAAACAAATGTAAATATTGGACAAAGCGACCCACAGTGAGAGCCTTTAACCACACACTGTCACAGAACAGTGGAGAACCTTCCCACGAGTGGCCGGCCGACCAAAATTACCCCAAGAGTGCAGCGACGACCAAGAGGTCACATGTAGGTTTGGATTTTTTGTGTTTACTTGTGCTAATCTTTGTCTAATATTTAAATTTGTTTAATGATCTGAAACGTTCAAATGTGTCAAACATGGAAAAACACAGGAAGAGGGCAAACACCTCCTCGCTGTACGATGGAAGCAGTGCGTAACAGAGTAGCCATCCATCTCAGAACGAAAGCATAGAAACAAGCAGTGTTTTTGTGCCTTTAAAAAGATATTACAATGATTTCAAACAGATGCAATCAAATCAAATCCTGTCAGATTGTCAGCAAACAGCTGCTCTTTGAGTGCATCAGAAATATTTATGTGTTTTTATGTGCAACCATCAGAGAAAAGACTATTCATCCAACACGGGCTCTGTAACCTGTTTCCTTTGTGGAGAAATGAGGCCAACATGGCGTCGATGTGTCAGAGGGAGCGATGGACGTCAGATTACCGTCCTCTCTCTCTCTGTCTGCAGGAACGCAGATGTAATCCGTCCAGAGAGATGCAGGGATTACAGCGCAGGCCTGTAACTGTGTTTGCTGCAAGCTGCTTGGTTCGGCTGAGCAGCTGCTGGTGGTTTCATGTGGTCACAGGTCCTGTTTGTGCTGCTGACAGGGAAAAGAAAACGTGCTTTCACTGCGGTTAGTTTATTAAAAACATGACACGATGATGCATCCATCATATCAGGATGAACAGAAGCTGTTAACAGGTAGAGTCTGCCTGTGGAAATGATATCCAGCTCAGTCTGAGGTCACGAGGCGAACGTCGGCTTCATGCTTGTAAAAGCCGCAGCTTCCTCCGAGCTCAGAGGAGACGGGAGTCCACGTCTCACACTCTCTCTGTCTGTGCCTGATGTCCAGACCAGAAAACATTTGTTCCTTCCTGTTGCCCTTCACTGTAAGAGCCTCAGATGGTCTTGCACTCTTGCAGTGGAAGAAGCAACTGAATAAAACAGGACACTATTGAAGTAACGTGCACCAACACAAACTCTTTGATCTGCTGACAGTAGCGGCGGTCTGAGTACAGTGGACTCATCTTCCTGTTCAGGAAACAGTTTGAGATAATCTGACCTTTTGCCACGGAGCGTGCTGGAAGCAGGCATCAGGGCTGTGGTCATGACAGGATGGACGTGGTCAGCAGCAACACTCGGGAGTTCAGATGATGCTCAGCTGGTCCTGAAAATCTGCCTCACGACGTCACACCAGCCTGAACACCAGTGAAGGGTAAAGGCGGGATGCCGTCGGAGAATCGTCAGACCAGGAAATGTTTTTTCGTCTTCTGTCATCCGGTTTTTGTGAATGCGCCCGTCTGCTGTTCAGAGATGCTCGTATGCAACCTTTGGTTATGAGTTGAAAGCAGTCTGTCTCTGACCTCTGACCTCTGATGTCAGCAGGGCATTTTCTCCCAGAGAACTGCTGCCGACTGCGTGTGTTTGTTCTTTTTATTTTATTTGTTTGTCTGTAAACTCTGGAGATGTTTTCGTTTCTGACACACTGAGACGACCAACTGTGCAGTTGCATCGCGTACTTACTGATGCTTAGTTTGAACCTCTGCAGGTCGTCTTGAATGCGCTGAGTTGCTGCCATGTGATTGGCTGGTTAGATGTTTAGGTTAGCAGGCAGTTGAACAAAGGGGCCAATGAGTGTACAGTATGAATGACTTGTCTTACATAAATGAATTATTAAGAAGATGAATTAGATACGCAGAATTATTAATGACACTATCAGAATGAACATAATGTTTTATTCATTTAGTTGGTTTTATTTATTGTAGCAATCACACTAAACATCGTTACTGGCATCTGTGTTTTAAAAGATCTTTTGATTATTAACATAAATGACAACGTTCAGGATAACGCTGCTTTCACTGCGAACACTGTACAAAGACACTACATGCGTTTAATTGTAATACAACACCTGTAGGGGAAAAAAGAGCTTTAACTGCAAAAGTGACAAGAAGTCTGAGCACTTTCACACATGCAGAGCACAATAATGCCCGGACTGGGCAGCCACAGGTGCCACCAGCAATCAGTCTGGGCAAGCAAGGCAGGCAGTGCTGGTCCAGTGAAGTCCAAAAGTAGACCTCGCTCTCCTTAACGTTCAAACGACATTCAGCCCTCCAGCGTTGTTTGTATCCAGTCTGTTGATGGATACATAACAGCGGGCTGCTGTCTCTGGAAGCACGAATAACTCTGGAAGCTGTGGTTCCTGTCATTTTGATGTGTCCGTGTCAAGCTGAGACCAGAAGCATTTTCTGGTTGTTAAATCTGTTTGATGAAAGACTGATGGGAGACCAGCATCACTGACAAGCTGCTGCTGCTTTCACTGATCTGAGATCATTTACAGTGGGGCAAAAAAGTATTTAGTCAGCCACCGATTGTGCAAGTTCCCCCACTTAAAATGATGACAGAGGTCAGTAATTTGCACCAGAGGTACACTTCAACTGTGAGAGACAGAATGTGAAAAAGAAATCCATGAATCCACATGGTAGGATTTGTAAAGAATGTATTCGTAAATCAGGGTGGAAAATAAGTATTTGGTCACCTCAAACAAGGAAAATCTCTGGCTCTCACAGACCTGTAACGTCTTCTGTAAGAAGCTTTTCTGTCCCCCACTCGTTACCTGTATGAATGGCACCTGTTTGAACTCATCATCTGTATAAAAGACACCTGTCCACAGCCTCAAACAGTCAGACTCCAAACTCCGCCATGGCCAAGACCAAAGAGCTTTCGAAGGACACCAGGAAAAGTATTGTAGACCTGCACCAGACTGGGAAGAGTGAATCTACAATAGGCAAGCAGCTTGGTGTGAAAAAATCAACTGTGGGAGCAATCATCAGAAAATGGAAGACATACAAGACCACTGATAATCTCCCTCGATCTGGGGCTCCACGCAAGATCTCATCCCGTGGGGTCAAAATGATCATGAGAACGGTGAGCAAAGATCCCAGAACCACACGGGGGGACCTGGTGAATGACCTGCAGAGAGCTGGGACCAAAGTAACAAAGGTCACCATCAGTAACACACTACAACGGCAGGGAATCAAATCCCGCAGTGCCAGACGTGTTCCGCTGCTGAAGCCAGTGCATGTCCAGGCCCGTCTGAAGTTTGCCAGAGAGCACATGGATGATACAGCAGAGGATTGGGAGAATGTCATGTGGTCAGATGAAACCAAAGTAGAACTTTTTGGTATAAACTCAACTCGTCGTGTTTGGAGGAAGAAGAATACTGAGTTGCATCCCAAGAACACCATACCTACTGTGAAGCATGGGGGTGGAAACATCATGCTATGGGGCTGTTTTTCTGCCAAGGGGACAGGACAACTGATCTGTGTTAAGGACAGAATGAATGGGGCCATGTATCGTGAGATTTTGAGCCAAAACCTCCTTCCATCAGTGAGAACTTTGAAGATGAAACGAGGCTGGGTCTTCCAACATGACAATGATCCAAAACACACCGCCCGGGCAACAAAGGAGTGGCTCCGTAAGAAGCATTTGAAAGTCCTGGAGTGGCCTAGCCAGTCTCCAGACCTCAACCCCATAGAAAATCTGTGGCGGGAGTTGAAAGTCCGTGTTGCTCGGCGACAGCCCCAAAACATCACTGCTCTCGAGAAGATCTGCATGGAGGAATGGGCCAAAATACCAGCTACTGTGTGTGCAAACCTGGTAAAGACCTATAGTAAACGTTTGACCTCTGTTATTGCCAACAAAGGTTATGTTACAAAGTATTGAGTTGTATTTTTGTTATTGACCAAATACTTATTTTCCACCCTGATTTACCAATAAATTCTTTACAAATCCTGCCATGTGGATTCATGGATTTTTTTTTCACATTCTGTCTCTCACAGTTGAAGTGTACCTCTGGTGCAAATTACTGACCTCTGTCATCATTTTAGGTGGGGGAACTTGCACAATCGGTGGCTGACTAAATACTTTTTTGCCCCACTGTACCTGTGCACTGTGTGGACACACAGCTAGCATTAGCAAGGATTAAGCATTTTAACGGGGACGACCTTCCTGACCGACCGCCTTGGCTTTTTCCTTGATGGGGGGCGGGTTCTGCTGAACAGAATTTAAATCTTTAGTCTAAAGTTTGATAACATGACCCTTTCAAGTACTACACAAGTCACACAAGTGTACTAACAGAAGTATCTGAACCGAGACACATCCAGTGTTTACTTCATTTTCTTCAGGTCCGATTTTAAATACAATCGAGCTGCTCGGTGATTCACCACAAAGTTATTCTGCTAGAGCGTCGGCAGGCGTAGTGACGTAAGAGTTTCAGCTCACGCTCTCTGATTTCTGTCTAAAGCTGCAAACACTCGGCAGGACATAAAAGTTTCTCTGCAGATCGCTGAGGTTTCTCTGAAGCTGGTGAAATGGAACCATTTCTCAAACTGGGATCCAGGAAGGATGATTTTACTCGTCATAAACACCGACCAGTCTGAACCTTCACAACACGGGCGGAGTTGGTTTATACCAGTGAAACCAGCATTTTATATTATTTGACTGATTTCAAACTGCAGACAAAACGTTTATCATTTTTTTAAATGTTACTCAGCAGCCTGGGATGACTTTGATCTCACTGATCCAAACACATGTGCAGGTTTTACTACAGGACGCAGCGCAAACACGAGTGTAACGGCCTACAGTCATCCTGCTGTTGGACACAAACCTGTCAGCAAAGCTGCTGTGAGCAGATTCCTCGTTCTCTACATCTAACTGCAAAGATTGAACTGAAGGAAAAACTGCCTTCATCATTTACACAAATATGAAGAATAAACTCATCAAATGTAATTTTAAGAATCTTTTCATCTGTATCATTAACATCTTATGTGTGAGGCAGAAATGTGTGCACTGAACTGTAACCTGAGTTAGTATCAAAGGTCTTACGGCCGATTTGAACGTTTTACGCTTTGTTACGTGTGAACGTCCTGGATCGTTTGGCTCGTAGGATTCACAGAGCAGGATTTGTTCCCAGCAGTTACTCTGCAGCGTTTGCTGTTTGCATCGTGGAAAAATCCTGCGTCTGCATCACAGGGCCAGTCATTAGACACGAAGGACTGATTAACATGAAACATTTCTGTCTCACTGAAAACAAGGGAAAACCCACCGAATAACTGAGAAATCATAAAAAGTTCCAGCTAATGTGACAGATGTGCTACAGATGTGCTACGTGTCTCCAGAAACCACAGCTCACTGCTGCTTTTCTGCAGACCTCTAACATCAAATAGTAATTCTAGAAAAATCCATCAAACCCGCCGGCGCTACTTTCTACTCGACCTTTCTGTGTGGTACACGGACATCTGAACTGAGATGTGTTTGTCTTACTCTGTAGGTGTACGCCATTCTGGTCAGCCATCCTCCACAGTCCAACGACCACCTGACTCCAACGCCCGTCTCCTACACCGCCGGTTTCTACCGAATCCCCGTGGTCGGCCTGACGACACGCATGTCCATCTACTCTGATAAGGTTAGCTCGGTCGGTCTGTTACAGCAGAGCGCTGACGGTCTGAGCTGCAACGCTCACATGAGGATCTGATCCTGGTTCTTTACACAGCTGTTTGCATCCATCATTGTTTTATTCGTCAGAGCCTTTCATCTTGGTTCTGAATTTTCTCCACTGGAGTGAAAATCAGGAAAGTTCACTTTTATGCAGATGACATCCAGGTGTCCCAATCAGAAAACACACAGAACGAGTGAAAAATCACAAAAGGTGTCACGTCTGCAGAGGTGAACGGCGTGGAATCAGGTGAATGTGGACCCAGAATACAGACAAGGATGGAGGTGGATGATAACAAAAAGCGAGCCTTTATTTGGCTGAATAAGAGTTCAAACAAAAGCAAAGGAAGACAGGATAAAGACATGCTGTGGGAGAGAGACAGAGATTAATAACAGGTATGATTCGGTGCAGAGAGGTCTGTTAACACATAGTGAGTGAAGAAGAAACACCCAGTGCATCATGGGAATCCCCCAGCAGCCTACATCTATTGCAGCATAACTAAGGGAGGATTCAGGGTCACCTGGTCCAGCCCTAACTATATGCTTTAGCAAAAAGGAAAGTTTGAAGCCTAATCTTAAA